AAGCATGAAGAACATTCATGAATAGGCACATGAGCCTATTTCTAATACTAAATTAGTCAGTCAATGTAGAATTTAAATTTGTTTCATAAACGGATGAGCCATGACTCTCAAAAAAGTGTGCCAATATTTGTATCAGCTAGTGTGTCGCTGTGGCCTAATGTATCAGATTGCAAAGTCATTTGAACTACAAGGTCGGTGGTTCAAGCTCACCAGCTGCTCCTTGGAAACCCTGTATACAGGGTCACTATGGGTTGGAATCTACTAGACGGCACTTAACACAATATGGGCTTTAGTGATCCACATTAAAATTCTCATGTGTATGTGCACATAAATATCTTCTATCTAATAAATGCTTGTGTGCACATGGAAAGAATCCTACATGGTATCACGGTTACGGGCTCTGTAGCTAACTAAATGACGAGCAGTTTGAACTCACTATCTGCTCCTAGGGAGAAAGACATGTCAATCTGCTTGATAACACTTAGCCTTGGGAACCTTCTGGGCTACTTTTCTGTCCTGTAGGGTCTCTATGTATCAAAATCAACTCAACAGCAATGGGTTTGATTTTGGTCTGATGTCTATACACACACACCTTAAGTTTGCAAAACAATAAATACTCGTCTTAAATATTTGTGAAGTATACTGAGATCTATGTGAACTATAATCTGTTCCATTCTATTTAAGAAACAAATGCTTGTTCTTTTTGGAAAAAATCCACTTAAAAGTCAAGTTTACGGAAGAATGTTTGCCTAGAGTGAAGGATTTTCCCCTAGAGCCTCTGGAGGGGGTGTGACCCTGCTGATGCCTTGTTTTCTGATTTGCGGCCTCCAGAGCTTAAGAGGGATAAAGTCCTATCAGTTGAAACCACTGCATTTGTGGCAATGTGCTCTGATGGTGGTCCTATCACTAACATAGCACATATGAGGTACTTGTTGTTGTTAAGTGCATGGAGTTGATTCTGATTCATAGCAACCTTATACAGTGTTTCCAAAGAGTGCTGCTGGGTTTGAACTGCCGACCTTGTGGTTACCAGTCTAATGTGAATCCTACAGCAACACACCAAGACTCTATATGCATGAGGTAAGAATAGTCATAATTGACAGACATAAAACGAACCTAAGAATGAGCTGGATTAATTGATTTCCTGTTCAAAGCAGAATGTTTCACAAAATGTAACTTAGAAGAGTAAACCTACTACCTTGTTAATTTGCTTATAATGAAAATATTTTGGTTTTACTGTGCAACTAAGGTACAGATTAATACATGCAGATTGAATATATGAATTCCTAGTTGAAGTGTATGACACCCATGAAGGGAAGTATTGAGTAATTTTTAGTCTTGCAAGTAACCATAGGTACCTTAGGTATTAATAATAATAAAAAAAAATTATATGACCAGATGAGTTCAAAGAAACCTGGAAAAAGCATTTGTTTATAGAAATGAATTAATTTTATCATTTCCTAGCTTATTCAATTTGGGTATATGTTTTTGACACTGGTGATGCCTGTCTACCACCACTCCTCTGTCAGTTTGTCATACTGTGGTGGCCTGCCTGTTGCTGTGATGCTGGAAGCTATGTCACAGGTATTTTAAATACCAGCAGGGTCACCCATGGTGGACAGCTTTCAGATGAGCTTCCAGACAAAGACAGACTAGGAAGAAGGAGAGACAGATAACTTCTGAAAATTTAATCACACACACAAAAAACTTATGAATAGCAGTGGAGGACTGTCAGATAGCACCAGAATATTGAATATTGATACATGATGAGGAACACAATAATATTGTCAGATATACTGCTAGCAAATGAGCCCCAGATGCTGGAAGGCACTCAAAACATGACAGGAGAAGTGCTGCCCTCTCAACGTAGAGTTGACAGCGATGATGCAAATGGAGCAAAGCCTTTGGGACCTTCATTTGCTGATGGTGTAAAACTCAAAATGAGGAGAAACAGTTATATGCATTGATTAATAATCAGAGCATGGAATGTATGAAGTCTGGATCTAGGAAAATTGTAAGTTGTCAAAATGAAATGGAATGTATAAACATGGATATCCTAGCCATTAGTGAGCTAAAATGGACTGGTATTGATCATTTGATATCTGAAAACCACATGATTGACTATGACAGGAATAAAAAATTGAAGAGGAATGATTATCGCATTCATCATCAAAAAATAACATTTCAAGATCTATCTTGAAGTATAACACTGTCTGTTATAGGATAATATCCATGCGCCTACAAGGAAGACCAGTTAATACCACTATTATTTAAATTTACACACCAACCACTAAAGCCAATGATGATAAAATTGAAGAACTGTACCATCTTCTTCAGTCTGAAACTGATTAAACATACAATCAAGATATATTGATCATTACTGGAAATTGTAATGTGAAGATTGGAAACAACGCAGAAGGATGGAAATGATGCCGGAGATCACATGATAGAACTTTATAAGAACAATGACTTCTGCAAATACTGTTTCAAACAACATAAAAGACAATTATACTCATGGACCTCAACAGAGGGAATACACATAAATCAAATCAGAAAGAGATGATAGAAAAGCTCCATATCAGCCAAAACAAACCTAGGGGCAGACTATGAAACAGGCCATCAAGTACTCATATCATGTTCAGGCTGAAGCTGAAAAAAAAATTAAAACAAGTCCACGAGAGCAAAAATATGACCTTGAACATATTTCACCTGAATTTAGACATCCCCTCAAGAACACATATAATTAATTAGACATTAATGCCTGAGGACCACAAGAGTTATGGGATGACATCAAGAAAATCATACAGGAAGAAAGCAAAAGGTCATTAACAAGTCAAGGAAGAAAGAAAAAACCAAAATAGATAGCAGAAGAAACTCCCCAGTGTAGAGATGCTAAAGTAAATTGAAAAAATGAGGTAAAAGAGCTGAAAAGTAAATTTCAAAGGGCATCTCAAGAAGTTAAATATTATAATGAAATGTGAAAAGGCCATGAGTTAGAAAATCAAAAGAGATTAATAATATGCTCAGCATTTCTCAAGCTGAAGGAACTGAAGAAAATATTCAAACCTCGATTTGCAATACTAAAGATTTCTTTGGGCAAAATAATGAACAATACAGAAAACTTAAGATGGAAGGAATACACAGAGTCTCTGTGCCAAAAAGAAATGAATGATGTTCAGCCATTTCAAGAGGTAGCATATGATCAAGAGTCAATGGTACAGAATGAAGAATGCAAGATTCACTGAAGACACTGACAAAGAACAAGGCTCTAGGAATTGATGTAATATAAACTCAAAGCTTTCAACAAACTGAGGTGGCACTGGAAATACTCACTCATCTATGACAAGAAATTTGGAAAAGAGTTATCTGGTCAACCGATTGGAAGAGAACTATAATTGTGACCATTCGAAAGAGATGTGACCCAATGGAATGTGGAAATCATCAGATAACATCATTAATATCACATACAAATAAAATTTTGTTAAAGACAATTTAAAAATGTCTCCAACAGTACATTGACAGAGAACTGCTAGATGTTCAAGCCAGATTCAGACAAGGATGTGAAACCAGGGATATCACTGCTGACATCACATAGATCTTGGCTAAAAGCAGAGAAAAACAGAAAGATGTTAGCCTGAGTTCTACTGACTACGCAAAGACTTTTGGCTGTGTGGATTATGACAATCTATGAGCAACATTGCCGAGAATGGGTATTTGGGAACACTTAATTGTACTCATGAGGAACTTTTACATAGACCATGAGGCAGTGGTTAGAAAAGAAAAGGGGAACACTAAATGGTTTAAAATTAGTAAAGGTGTGTGTCAGGGTTATATTTTTTCACCATATGAATTTAATTTGTATGCTGAGCAAATAATTTGAGAAGCTGGAGTATATGAAGAAAAATGTAAAATCAAGGTTGGAGGAAGAATCATTAAAAACCTGCCATATGCAAATGATACAACCTTGCTTACTGAAAGTGAATAGGATTAAAATACTTACTGATGGAGATTCAAGAATGCAGCCTTAAGTATGGGTTGCACCTCAACGTGAAGAAAACAATTCCAAGGCACAACAAATAACATCAAGATAAATGAAGAATTGATTTTGTAGTTGTCAAAGACTTCATTATCCTCAGATCAACCATCAACACTCATGGAAGCAATAGTCAAGCAATCAAACGACACATTACATTAGGCAAATCTGCTCCACAAGATGCTGATGAGTAAAGATGTCATTTTGAGGACTGAGGTGCACTTGACCCAAGTCATGGTATTTTTTATAACCTCATATGCATGTGGAAGTTGGACAATGAATAAAAAAGACCAAAGAGGAATTGATGCATTTGAATTATGGTGTTGGAGGAAAATATTAAAATTACTATGAACCACCAAAAGAACAAACAAATCTGTATTGGAGAGGTACAGCCAGAATGTTCCTTAGAAGTCAGGGTGGTCAAACTTCATGTTACATATTTCAGACATAGTATCAGGAGGGATAGGTCCCTGGAGAAGCACATCATGCTTGGTAACATGAAGGGTCAGCGAAAAAGAGGAAGGCCCCAATGAGATAGATTGGCACAGTGGGAGCTGCAAAGCAACAACTATGAGGCTGACGCAAAACTAGTCAGTGTTTCCGTCTGTTGTGTATAGGGTCGCTATGAATTGGTAAAACACTCTTTATATGATACCTTGATACAAATACTTTCTGCTATATTCCTCTTTATGGAATAAGATTTGTACTCTTGAACAAAAACAAAAGAATAAGAAGAAATGGAAGTAGATATTTAAAAATTATAAAATAATCTTCAGAATTAGCATAGCATCTGGTACACAAAAGCTGTTTAATAAATACTTGTTAGGTGAATGAAATATAACTTGTGTAATGAATCTTCCCATATCCTCAAACAAAAAACACACAATGAAAGGTTAAACATGAGTGATTTAAAATAACCTTTACTGTATTAACTCAATAGAAGTGTATTGGAACACTTAATTCTTACCTCTTCCTTTGTCTTTTTTGATATCACTCGGAGCCAGTCTCCAATCATGCTCAAAACAGCAGCAAAGTAGGCAAGCCCCACAAGGATCCAAAACCACACCACGGGCTTATATAGGTCTATATATTCAATATCTGATCCACCTGGGAGAGAAAATCAAGTAGAATAACTTCACATGTATACAAGTAAACAATGTAAGTATCTGATCACAATCTTAACTGGATATTGACTTGCATAAAACACAAAAATCTCATGTCCTTGTCGATTGATCAATGTTATTTTCTTTAGATAAAATTCCACTTTTCCATTCACGTAATTCACATTTTTCAAGAAACAAATTAAATAAGTTCTTCTTAATGAAACTTTTCATTATTTCTCCAGGAGACAGTGATTTTTCCTTACTGTGTTTCTTTTTCATTTATTTTAATCTGTTTCAACTCATCTAGCACATTAAATATTCCAGGTGTACTTTTTACCCCTAATGCAACAAACAGAAGGTAGTAATTACACGTTTTAGGTATGAATTTAATTACTATAGTTACTTTATTATCAAAAATACATGGTGACCTACTGATTCTGTGCCAAACTGAACAGAAAGTAGCTGAGTAGGGCTGGCTCTTATTTTGAAGGCATCCATGTACTACAATGATAACAAGGACCAATGGCTATGCAGCTTGATGAGGCTAACTGATATAAAGAGTAAATTGCAGGTGATGCCACCATGTTCTTGACTTTTCAGAAAAATTCCCACATTTGTTACAAATTTAAATCCCTAGCACTCAAGGAAGAAAATGCACGTAAACACCCTCTTTTTCTTTGCTCCTTGAATTTTTAATCCGTCAATTTGGTACAATAACTGTACCTATGAGGGTTATGTGGCCATTGCAACATATCCTAGATTGTTGTTGTTGTTATGTGCCATGGAGTCGGTTCAGACTCATAGCGACCCTGTAAAGGGTTTCCAAGATTGTAAATCTTTATGGGAGAAGAAAGCCTCATCTTTCTCCCGCAAAACAGCTGGTAGTTTCAAACTGCTGACCTTAAAGGCTTGCAGCCTGGTTCAGAACCACTACGCTACCAGAGCTCCTTATATCCTATATTAGTCACATGTTTATAAGGCACATATTAAGTCATAAGCACTTGATTCCAGCCCTCACTTGTTTCCACAAGAGAGAGAAACAAGTCCTCTCTTGAGGAATTCAAAATTTAGACTGAAAGACCCCCTTGTGTAGACAATGAACCACAATGGAGTATTGTACTATAAGGGTTCTCTCTGGAAGGCGAACCACAAGCTCAGTTGTTCAAACCCACCAGGCACTCCATGGAAACCCTATACAGGGTTGCTATGAGTCAGAACCGACTTAATGGCATTTAACAACAACTCGCTGACCCGGCTCTCTGTGCCAATGGTAAATAACAATCCAGGGAAACTAAGGAACATCACTGGTCTCTGAAGTCAATGTGTGTGGTAGAAGACAAAATCCCTTTGACACACCAGCTGAATCATTTGGAAATCTCAGCTTCCCTTCCCTTTTCAGTTAGGACCTCAGTCACGCTTGTAGCCCTTCTAATCACCTGGGGCTGGGACAGCTGGTACTTGCCACGAGCCCAGCAGTCCACATCACTCCCTCCACTTCAGAACACATGGATTTCCCTGCTCCTTACTGGTAATTCACTGAAATGGCTTACAGACCTTATGGAAGAGACACGATGCCTGTCAGAACAGCTTTAATATAGCAACTGCCACAAAAGGATACAAGGGAGGAAAAACACAGGGCAAGGTCCTGGAAGGTAATGGTGCAGGGCTTCTACATACTCGGGGGAATTCTTACCCTCCTGAAAACACAAGTTTAGTGTCTCCAACCCAGAAGGTTCACTGAAACTCCATCTCCTAAAGATTTTATAGGCCTTACCATGTAGCCAAGGAATTCTGGTGGTGTAGTGTGTTACACACTGGACTGCTTATCGCAAGGTCGGAAGTTTGAACCCACCAGCCGCTTCGTGGGAGAAAGCAGCTTTCTGCTCCAGTAAAGATTTACAGCATCAGAAACCCTATGCAGGGATGCTATGAGTGGAAACCAACTCCAAGGCACATCACCACCACCATCATGTGGCCATGAAAACTTACATGCAGAGGCTTAGCTGCTGGTCAGCTTCTGACACTGGGCAGTGTAGCCATGGTAAATTACATAATACCTTGTGAAGTTTAGTGAATACTGGATCCCCAGGGGGTTCAGCTCTTAGGAACCCAAAACAAAAGGCTAAATTGCTTGATGCACCTCACAGGTATAATTGGTTATAACCTACTGCTGCTGTCCACTGGATTCTGACTCAGAGTGACCCATCAGGACAGAGGAGAAATGTTCCACACGGTTTCCAAGACTGCAAATCTTTACCAAAGCAGAAATTTTTCTCTTTCTCCCACCAAGTGGCTGGTGGGCTTGAACCAGCAGCCTAATACTTAGCCCACTGTACAACAAGAAGTATTTATATCTGGTAACACTTTTTTTGTTGTTGTGAAGTGCCACTGAGTTGGTTCCGACTCATAGTGACCCTGTATAGAGTTTCTAAGAAGCAGGTGGTGAGTTTGAAATGCAGAACTTGTGGTTCGCAATTCAGTGTTGATAGGAGGGCATGGGAGAAATGCATTTTATTTCTGGGTGATGGATCCTGGAAGATTTGTAAGAAAAGATGAATCTTAAGTAATGAGGATTGAAATGTGGAATAATACAGTATATAAAAGTATAGGGTATGTTAAAAGGATTTTAGTAACAACTAAATCTATATATGGATTGTGGGGGGTAAGCAGGAATAACAGTAGAAGAGAAGAATCTAGAAAAAGTAGTTTGTGTCACACTGTAAAACAATGGGCATACCACATTTTCAAACAAAAAATATGCATGTTATACCTTTATTTTGGAGTCCTGGAGTGGTGCTATAGGATAAACACTGGACTGCTAGCCACAAGGTTGGTGGTTCAAACCCATCAGCTGCTACTTGGAAACCCTATACAAGGTTGCTATGAGTCAGAACTGACTCGATGGCACTTAACAACAACAACCTTTATTTTGTCAACTGCACTCACCCCCTCCCAATATTTTCATAACTATATAATGCAAATTTTGTTTACATGTTGCTGGTTTTTAAAAAAAGAAAACAACATAGCTTCTTTACAAAAAAAACCTTGAAAGGAGAGCAAAGTTGGCAGACATACAATGCACATGTTATCTGAGTAAAAATATTGTAGGTCAAAGTTAATAGGTAGTGAAGTCTTTTTATTTGTGGTTAATAATGTGTACAGAAAGATCTAGTGGCAGGGAAGGAAGTAGTAACAGTGAAATCATATACAAAAAAATTATAATGAATTAGCTAAGAAATTATTGGGTCCAGTTAGGGAAGGAAAGAAAAGACAGGACATTTCAGAGACAGAATCATCAGTGTTTGAACCCTAAAGAGTTAGTATGGTAAGTGAAAGAAAGAGCTCCGTGGTGCCCTGAGACCCTCACTTGGGAGATGATGCAAATAACCGACTAGGAAACTCCGGAAGGGAGGTGAAGACAGGGACAATGAAAAAGTAGTTCAAATTGAGACATGAGACGTTTCAAGAAAAAAAGAGTTGGAGATATCCAGTAGGATCTTTAAATACAGGTATAACACTTAATTAGGCAGAGTAGGAGATATAAACGGTAGTGTCAACAACAGAAAAACTGGTAATGCTTAAACAGGAATCATGGAATTACTCAGTACACAAAAAAATTCAATCCAGGTATTCAGATTAGCTGTTAGTAATGAGTACAGCTGGCCCTCCATAATCACAGATTCCACATCCGAAGATTTAACCAACTACTGATGGAAATATTTAGTGGGGAGGGAAGCAAGTGAGTGGCCGAAACAATCCCTCAAAGGCTAGAATGGAGCATAATGAGATATTCACACAGCATTTGCATTGTATTAGGAATTATACACAATCTTCTTGTTGTTGTTAAGTGCTGTTGAGTTGGTTCTGACTCATAGCGACCTTGTATAATTTCTAAGGAACGGCTGGTAGGTTGGAGCCGCGGACCTTGAAGTTTAGAAGTCCAGTGCTTATCTTACAGTGCCACATCAGGACTCCTAGATTTAAAGTATATAGGAGGATGTACATAGGTTATATAAAAAATACTAAACCCAAACCTAGTCCTATCACATCAATTTTAAATCACACTGTGAATCTTTACCAGAGGAGACAGCCTCATCCTTCTCCCTGCTAGGGGGCTTGATCCATTGAACTTGTGGGTTCACAGTCTTAACACCTTATGAAAATGCTACATCAGTTTGTATAAGGAACTTGAACATGGGCTGACGGTGCTATCTGTGTATGTGATGTGCCTGGAGTTAATCTCCTGAGGATACTGAAGGACAGTGTATATATTAAGTCTCAAATATAAAATATTGAGTGTAATATTAAGCATCCAGTTGCTGTAGAGTTGATTCCAACTCATGGCAACCCCATATGTGTCAAAATAGAACTGTATTCCATAGAGTTTTCAATGAGTGACTTTTCAGAAGTAGAAACCAGGCTTAGTCTTCAAGACACCCCTGGGTAAGTTTGAATCTTTAGCCTTTCCATTAGACAACAAGCACATTAACTGTTTCCACCTCCCAGGGACTGACTATCACATCACGCTATATAAATTAGACTTTCAAAGAACTACCTGAAAAGGTTTTTGAAACTATTAAAGGGTCAGAGTAAAAAGAAAATAATTTTCTATTGAGTAAAGAATGCAAATAGATACAAACCCAGTTTTGTTTTGGTGAAAAAAACAATAATTTTAAGAATACAGTTTACAAAGTGAACAATACTATTTTCAAAAATATTTTTTAAATGTTTTACCTCATTCAACACTTTTAAGAACCCATTTCTGGGAAGGGTTATGGAAACTAAATGTATCTTGTGATGGGTCAGACTTGACTCCTTGGGATGCAGCACTATAGATTCAGAGAAATGAGTAAAGAAATGTGTGTGGTAACAGGTTATATGATAGGTTCACTGGTAAATTCCATTTTTCAAATGTTTCCATTTCAATGAAACCAAAATGACATTTTTGTCCAAGTACTTTCTCTTTCAAAACCAAAAAACCTTTGTCCAAATAACTGTGAATCA